TGCTGAATATTTCTAGAATATTTTATTTTGAAAACAATAGAATATTTAGCCCTCGGTCCGATATAAATATTTAATGACTTCACGCACAACGTCAAGACTCAACAATACAGAAATAATCACGAAAAATTCGGTCGATTTTCTCTAAAATTTTGGAATATGCAAGAGAAGACTTAAGGAATTAAAATGATAACATTTTCGTTCAAAATTTTGATTCGAAATCGGTGACATTTTTTTATTCAATTAAGGACAACAATATTTTATAACCAATTCAGATTTCTCTCGACGTAAGTAATAACTTGGAAAAAATTCAGTACATATATACCAAATATTTATCGGAAAAATACGCATATATTTTCAAATTTTACTTTGAAGGGTAAAGTAATTGTAAAGTAAAAGTGTTAGCATCATACCGTATCGAAAAGCAATTCGATTTTTTTCAATGTAATAAATTTTGCGTTGTGTCCATTGTGATAATTTAAAATTCTTTAATTTTGAGAATTAACGATAAATTACCGGACCATCGCTAGTTCTTTTAAACTTTTTTTTTATACGCGGTTATTAAAAAAATGAAAGTTTAATTTTTACAATCATTTGGAAGACTGCCTCACAAGCACAATATTAATGGAAAAAGTTAATCTTTGAAAAATAAAATTTCGTACCTACGAGTAAACATTTAACTTACGCTAAGGTCTTATATTACGAGAAAAACCCATTAGGCATACAGTTGCTACGCGCGGATGTATGCTTTTTTATCATAAAAAGACGATCTACTCCGAGACGGGAATATTAACGGAAATCCGATCGTCATATGTGGAATTGATCGATTGACCACGTATATAACCACTGATACTCTTTGCTGCATAAGCACAAATGCGCATATACCCTCAACTCATGTATGTGGTTCAGAAATCCTAAAAAAGTCGTACAGCGTTGGGTCTGCTTTCATTTAAATTATTGATTGATGTCGCGCTACTCATGCATATTTTTCTTCATATAGTACATATATTTGCGTAAGATAGAAATACATTTCCATTCTCCAGAGAAATTGACTATGCGTGCACGTTGAATCTCGCGAGAATTATACATAATTTATCAGCAATTTCAGTGTCTGACAAATATTTGCTCGGATCATCGTCTTATTTCAAAATTTGAAAAAATTCCTTCAACTTCTTGCAATTAAAAATGACAGTAAGCAACAAAATAAAGGATTATAAAATTACTTTTTGATTTCTCGATCGACAAATTACATGTGGGTTTCAGAATACTCTGATCTGTCGGGCCATAGAAAATACTATTTTTATTAAATTCGTAATTTTGTTAAACAAAATTACTAATTCCAATGCATACATTATCCTAAAAAAAAATATAGCTTTAGTTCGTTGATTAACCAAAAAATGCACCAAAAAAATGGATTTAAGGACGTTGGGGACCTTTGAGTCAAGATGGGCCACGAAGTTGAAACTTTAGGGTTTGATAGTTAAAAACGCGAAAATATATATTAAATATAGTTAAAATCCCGAAATTTTACTTCGTTTGTCGATTTAAATTTTGTACATTGTAATTTCAAAAGTACACTTTTTAACATGACTACCAAGAGAGCGCGCAAGATCATTCACACAATTTCAAGTATAACTTGTGATAAATATGGACGATCGTGATCAAATTTCACGTAATTAAAGATGAAATCATTACCTTTGAAATGGTATCGGTTGTATAGTCTCTGCACAAACATATTTCAAAGTAATTTTATAAAAATAAAAAAAGTTTGTGTTTGCTCTACATGCAAACACAACTTGAGAGGTTAGTAGCAGACAAAAATACGCGTGACAGCATGTGTATTGTCACCTAGTCAAATCACATATCTACCTTCCGCTGTTTCTTGATAGTTGCTGATTTGAACTCGGTTACGTTCCCAACGTCCTAACCAATTGTATGAACTTGAATGAGGAATTCTAAAAAATCGTTTGAAAAGGTCCAGAAAATTATCAAATCTTTTTTGACACACATGCGTGTATTTTACATGCGTAAAATAAGCAGGCATTACCTCATATAGCGCCATTTATAATATCAATAATTATACGTTTTGATTATGTTTGTTTGTCAAATGGAATAAACGTATGTAGATGATGAAGCATTTTCTTTCATTACTTTTAGAGTTTGCGGCTATTGGACCGCGATGTCTATATAACGAGCTTTCTTTCAGTAGATAGGCGGATCAAGCAAATCCCCGAGAGGGTTAGAAGAAGAATCGATTGCATTAGAGACAACCCTTTTCCCTTTCGCGCGAGAAGCTGTGCCGAGCACGAGGATAGAAAATCCATGTTGGTATATAATAATACAAGCCTCATTCACTTTCCCGTCACTTGACTTTCAATTATGGACCAACAGGTCAAGTGGCAGCTTTGAAAGCGCGGCGTTGCATACATGGACACACGTGGGCTGTGTTTTCCTCAGTGGACTTTGCACGTACTAGAGCCAGCAGTGTGCCGTTGGCGCGATTGCGAATTTTCTTTGCTCGCCTCGATCTTCGTGGCGTATCATCCCCTCGCTGCGTTACAGGGAACGGATAATATGTACGGTATCGATTTTTTCCGTGCCCTTGCCCAGAGAAACGAGAGCACGAGCAGTTGTAGCAGTGCCAGCAGCAGCGGCGGCGGCAACTTATTAACGAGAAAAATCAAGCGTTAATTCCTTATTAAACGTCTTTTTAGCGTGAAATTGTACTGCAGACTATATCTGTCAGCGTCACACTGACTGTTTACGTTCGCAGCCGTGAAAAGACAATCGCGCACTGTACTGCACACTTTTGCCGCTCAATTAAGAATCGCGTAACGATGCATTAATAAATACTTTTCATTGTATCGGAGCGCGCTAAGAAGGGAGGCAATCTACTATCGAGTTGCCTCCTTTTTTTCTCTCGATTATATATTTGCCGAGAAAAAAGCGACTAGCGATTACGTCGCTCGGAGAGAAAGGACTCGTAAGCGATAAATGAAAAGAAAGAGTATGTATTTATCGTCCAAAGGATTCATTGTTTTTAGAAATTGTTATCCTTAGTGAATAAATGCTCGATTTACGGTCGAATCGACATAATTTGTCCTTTAATACGAGGACGATGCAGAGTATAAGGAAGAGCGAGCGGAGCGAGAGTGAAATGGACGCGACTGTACGCGCTCTCGAGGGTGTACTCGCGTTCGTATAGGTGTCTGCGCCGCGGTCAGTGCACGCGCACTCGAGTCAGCGGGCCGCTACCTATGCAGATGCGTCCGATGCAGATCGGGCCGTTCAACGCTCCGCGACGATCGCGCGCATTGTGCTCGTACGCCATGCTATGTGCCAAGACATTTGCGCAACGAAAAACACGTCGTTGGGTATTTCAATTTGCGAATTGCAAACTTTTGAATTTTCGCTTCCATCGCGTTTAGTTGTGCGCTACGTGCGAATCAGCCTTCGTATGCCACGCGACGATTGCGTATTTCGCGGCATTTATAATTAAATAACGCGCCGATTTCGGTGAGGCCTCGCGCGCGCCTATGCAGCAAGCAAGTAGCGGCGTATTATATCGCGCTCCGTTGTATATGCAGTGTAAAGCGCCTCGAGCATATATATTAGAAACGCAAAAAGAAGATCAGCATCATAACTTAATGATCGCTTCGAAATAGCAAAATAGAACGCTCGAGTTCTTCGACCCTTTCTGCTGCTGCTGCTGCTGCTAGCTAGCGCTACGCTCCCTCCTCCTTCGCGGTATAGGCCTGCAGCTGCAGCTGCGACTGCACCTCGACTGCGACTGTGTGCTGCTGCTATACATATAGATATATACGCGTGTGTGTACGTGCAGCGAGCTATACCGCTGCAGACAGCCAGTCTGTCTGTGTGCGCGCAAAAGAGAGCGAGACTATTGACCAAATGATGATACAATATGTACGCGAGAACGATAAGTAGCGCAACTGGCGACTCGGCAGCTTTTACGATCTTCCTTTCCTTCTATATCGCGTATTTAATACATTTATATACGTGTACGACTTATAGCGCAGGACTATAGCAAGAGAGAGAGGAGAAAAATGACTTGCCATCGAGTCGTGTTTCCCCCTCGTATATTTACGCGACGAAAGAAAAATATCAATTTGTGCCAACCCCCATGGAAAAATCGTTATGTACACGCATTGCGCGCTTTGAGTGCACGAGCACTCAGCGACGTTGGCATCTCTCTCACACACACACATACTTGGGCGCAAATAGCATCGCATGCACCAGCTGACGATGTTTTTCTCTCTCTCTTTGGCTCTCTGCGCACTCGGCGCATAACGTGCGCGCAATAGGCAGCACAGGACCCACTTCGAGACACATAACGCGCGCGCGCGCGAATCTGTGTGTGTAGGTCTGCCTGTCTGTGTGTGGACGGTGGAGGGCAAGAAAGAGAAAGAGAGAGAAAAATATGTACATAGCCTATGCGTACGAGTTCATGCATGTATACATACACACAAGGGTTGTTGGCTGTCTATGTCCACGCGTGCCTCTGTGTCTGTGTAGGTACATGTGTGTGTTTGAGTGTGTGAGTGTGGGGGCATATCAGCAGCGCGAGAAAGAGAAAGAGAGAGAGAGAGCTTTTGAGGCGGCAATCGATAGGGTGCCCGTGTGTATATCGCTAGCGACTCTTTCTCTCTCACTCGCACTCACTCTGTGCGCACTCTAGACTAGTGCTATACGTGTGCCTCTGCTACACTATACCAGTACTGTTATTAGTTCCTACTACTGTTTCTGTTTGTCATTATTTTATTTTCCACTCGGAGCTACTCGACTTTTTCCAAAGAGAAACCTCCGTAGCCTAAATTTCGCAACGCGAATAACAATTTTTTTTAGGCGAATCGTTTGTAAAACGTATGGACGCGAGCGTGCACGAATATCACTTAACCAGAGTGTGGCAACAACGTGTGGAAATTTGCATCGCTCGAAAAAAAAAAAAAAAAATAGAAAAAGCGGTGTTGGAGGCTCGCACTTACCACGCGATGATCGTCGCTGAGAGCAGCGACTACGCGACAACGCAATCAGCAGCGAATCGCGCTGATTCCTCTGCAAAGCAGCGTACCTTTGCTCTTGCTTCGAGCTGCGTCAACACCACACACTCGAGTAATCACTCCATACTCAACGAGTAGCCTTTGCAACTGCACTAGTCGACGACACAAGGACAGCAATAACAACAACTGCAACACGAGCGAAGACACAGACAGCACTGGTTTCGACAAAAAAGCTCGATCGAGCGACGAGCTTTCTGCTCGTCGAATGAAAATCTATTCGCGTCACGCGGACCAACGAATCGTCATCCACGCGTGGACGAACGTTAAAATTTTCCTCGTCTTGTCTGGCACACACGATACACACGAAACGTGTGTAGACGTATCTGTATATAGACGGCGCAGAGAGTAGCGAGCAAATCGTCAGTACTGCTACTGCTGCTACAACTGCTGTAGGCAGCGAGTCCTCGTGCTGCACTGGCCGAGAGAGCAGCTATTCGAGCGCCACTCTCCGAGCAGCAGCTGCCTGCGTGTGCAGTGACGGTGCGCCAGCAGCAGCAGCAACTATGCCACACACACACATGTATTGGGATGTGTACCGACACTACCGACTCCAAAATCATATGTATATGCCAGGTAACGCGTGCAAAGAGGAGCTGCGAGCAGTGCGACCGTTGGGCCGCCAAGGGGCGCTAGCAAACAATGAGCCATAATCTAGCCGGCTTTCTCATTGTTCGAGGCAACCTAGAGCTTGCGAGCTGCGACGAGGTGTGGTGCCTCTCTCTCTCTGCGCGCGTGCCAACGCTGCCAATGCGAGGTAACGCTATTGTCTGTCTTGCCGACTGCGGTGTCGCTCGACGGCTCGCGCGATCGTTTCTGCCTGCGCTTCGAAACTCTCCGTGACCAAGTGTACATCCGCGACGCTCGGTGCAGCGTTACCTCTGTCAACCCCGAGAGCCAACGCAAACACCTGCTTTTTCGAGACGCGATGTCCGTCATGGCGCAACGAACTTTGTCGGCTTCATCCGGAGTACGGTTAAAAAATCGCATGAAACCCACTCAACCTGACCAACTGCGTCGATGCTCTCTAACTGAACGCACTGGAAATATTTCGCCTCTTTTCGCACGATTTTTACAGATGCAGCATGACTTTTAGCTATTTTCTCAGCAACTTGTACGTTCAAAGAGCCCAGCTGTTTCGTACAACTAACTTGCCTATTTCATTTCTGACTTGATTTTTTATTTTCTTACGATAAATACAATTTTTGGCAACATAGCCGGTATCTGCCGGAAGTTTTTGCAAATCTATACATGTTATATCCACAATCTTCCAATCGAAATATAAGTTTACCAGCTTCTCATCATCGCCTGTACAAATTTTACTCAAAGTAAAATATCATGTTCGCGAGACATGGTAATACGTACGCGTTCCGAGAAATTAACACTTGTGCACTTGGTGCAGGGACTGTTAATTCCTTTCATGGCTATGTTTTTATTGGAAAGTAAAATATGGACAACGTGAAACATTGGGTAAAGACGTGTCGAACAAAAGTCGTTAATACGTATGCAGGACGATTAACGACTGACTTTGCGTACGAGGAAGGATAAATCGTCTTCTTCGTTTTTATCGTTGTTATTCCAGAGTAACGAGACGCGCATACATATCAATTGCAATCTTTTCGAATGAGAATTTTACATTTTAAAGACTCGTAGCTACTTCTTATTGTACATGTGCATATATAGAGCAAAGTTTGCAAGGCTTTTCACTTGAAAAGACGAGGTACATACAAGAGGTAGCCAAGTTCGCTAAAAAGATATAGCTAAGTATCGGTATCGCCTCGATTATTATTCAGCTGCATAATACAAAGTTGAATAGGTGTGGAGTTTAGACTTACCTTGTTGCGGTCGCGTTGCAGAGCTTCGTGACATTTTTCGTCGTCGTCTTTGTTGTTATTATGGCAGAGCTTTTGCTTTTGTCGCTTCGCCAAAAAGAAGAAGAAGAAGAAGAAAAAGAAGCAGTGAATGTTGTGAGCATCCACCCAGCCTGGTATCGTAATTATCGAGCTCCTTTCAAAGGGATGAGACGGGAGGCCGTCTGTCGTCGTCGCCGCTAATACGCAGTACAACAACAGCGGCCAAAGCGACGTTGCCCACGTGCTTCTATCGCTGCTCGCTGATGATGGTGATTTATCGTGACGGATGATCCGTATTTTCTGCTGCTGCTTCTCGGGGCTGGTGGTTATAGTCCGTAAATCGGCGGCGTCCATGTGGTCACCTGCTGGGTTGGCAGCGAGCTGCTTCGGCTTCTTGGATCCTTTGAGCGAGATCTCCTTCGCTGCTTCTGCGGCTGCTGCTGCTGCTTTGTTTACGTCTTCCGGCTCGTCGTCCTCGCGCTTTCAACCGAGCCAACTTGAGTGATATCATCCACAAAGTTTATTGCGATTTCTTGGCTTCACTGTAACACATATAAAATTAAAATACATATGAGTTTGGCATACTAATCGAATTGTTTATTATCGAAAGCATCATCATCATCAACGTTCGATTAATCTTCGCGGCTGTTCGAGCTGTCTACTATGTATAATACACATATAAACTTGACTAGACTTCAATGACATATTCATTAGACGAACGTGTGTGCGCGCATTTCTTTCTTCGAGCGAGGAAAAGAGAGTCTAATTAAGAGTAGACACACATATTATAAGGTAGTGCTGTATACCATACTGTGTGTATTCGGCCAGCGGCATTACGCAATAAAGAAAAGAAAAGAGTACACACATGAAGCCGACGATGGGGTTGTGTGGCTACATACATTTATGGGTCAATGCGATATCACGAATCGATTCGCGCACCCAGACACGCTATCGGGCACACATACAGACAGACGACGCAGGGGTGGCAAGCGCCAATATAGTTCGCACTCTACATGATAAAAAGATGACAACGAAAAATATACGACGCTTTCCTTTTCACCTCGCATCGGCATATATATGTATATGAGCCAGGCTATCATCGGTCAATATTAAGTTACATTACGACGAAGCGCGCCGAACATATATATAGCGATTAGCTTGTGTGTATTTGTATTCGCGGGTTGAAAAACGCACGCGACACAGCACGCACGCGTTGGCCCAGTTTTTCCCCCTTCGCTGCTTTTTCCTCCTTTCTTCGAGCTTTTTTTCCCTCTCTCGATCTTCGTGCTTCGCGCGCGCGAGGCACACGCACACGCGAGAGCGGCTATTATCGATGATTTAGCCACTAAGCGAGTTCGCGGCGCAACGATTTATACAAAGTAAGGAGAGCTTTTTTTTTGACGAGCACGCGACCGACCATCGCGTCGCCTATGTAAGGCCTAGCAACTAGTCTACGTGTCCGTGTGTATAGACTACAACTTGTTAACTCATGGCTAAATAGTCGGTAATTATTTTGACTAATTAATTTATGTGCTCGCCTACAGACATCTCGCAGTCGCGTGTATGTATAACTGATATCTTTACACACATTCGAGACATATTGCATACCTATAAAGAAACTCTTGAGCATCGATAAAGCGAATACACCAATCGAACAATCGGGTTTACAATATACAGATGTACAAAATACATGGAAGCATGGCGCACAACTATCAGCACCACGTGGACGTGTACTTTGTGTACCTATATATTGTAAAAACGATTCCCCAAAAGCAGATAAGATATTGTATACGCGAGTTTTTTTCTCTCTCTTTTATCGTCTGCGATTGCAAAACCGAAGAATCGAAAGAAAAAAGCTCATCGATCCGGGCGGCGTTGCTGTATTAGAGTGCATTGAATGTATCTGCGTGCATTGGTTGCATCGTGGCGCAATTCCACTCGATGTATTAAAGGTGAAAATTGGCCGACTAATGGCAAGCTTTAATGAAAAGAGAATAAACCCGTGCTTATGTAGACTTTAGTCATCAGCCTGCTTACTTCTTCTGTAGCTACACGCGTACGTAAGGTAACTCACCCGTACAAACACACACTCGCGCGAGGGTGAAATGAAAAAAAAAAGAAAAAATAGAAAATCTACTACTACGAAACTCGCTAAAGTCACGACTTGAATAATTGAGAGTACATGCGAGTCTTTGGGAGTTAGGGAGGAGGGGAGGGGGAGGGGCGAATAGAGCCTGTGGTACGTCGCAAAACATATATAATACACTCACACGTATAATCGAGTGCGAGAAATGAAAAGCTGTGACAAGCTGGCCGGTGTTATATTACCGTGACCGTTTGATCGATCTTTTAGGTAGTTTTATAATAGACTCGCGGCACTGCGATCGTGTGAGTGGATATAATTTCAAGTGCTTGCTTAGCCAAAAGGCACGACGCGCACACATCCATACGCACATGGACTTGGACACAAGTGCATAAGTTTCACTCGTTCGTATTCGTTTGTTCATTGCTCGGTGGCCGTCGTATAGGCTCGATGCTCTTAGGCCTCGAACAAGGACAGTGTCACGGCCGTTGTAGTCCGTCGCTAGCGCATCGAGTGTCTTCGTCGCTTCGTGTATACGTGTCTATATACGATGCGCCTTCTCTTCCTCGAACGCGCATAGCAGCTCCCCTTGCAGCGCGTGTCTCTTTTTCAACCTGCCTCCGTGAACGCCAAGTACGACGCGAGCTTTACGCGAGCTTTAAAACGTCAGGAGTCTACGAGTCTAGCCGTTATGATGGAGTTTTCTCGTTTCCCCGTTTCTCTTCTCGCGCCATATCGTCTCGAGCACGTGGGACTGCGTAAACAAAACGGAGGAAATTTCGGTAAGCAAGTACGCGAGCTTGCGCGACGAGCCTGTGTCAGTTTAGCGCAGGGTCAAGCTTTAAGCACGCTGCCGAGGCATCGTTCATTCCCAGATTGCCCCATTACTTATTGAGCGATGGAATCCTTGAGCGTCTGGCAGCTGCCGCTGCCGCTAATGCTGCCTACCATCGTCGCGCTTATTTGCGCGCGACTATAAGCATAAAATATATTTTCATGTCTGTCCATACCTCTGCCTCGATATTGTGTGTATTACGCTTCTAAAGTTTTTTTATTCTTTCTTTTTTGCTTTCTTTTTTTTACGAGTAAACCCGACGGCTATTTGCGTATGCAAGCGACCAGCCTTTGTACCTGTACTCACGCACAATATACACTACATTGTGGCAAAACAATCATTATTTAATTGGCAGCTAGGTTCGATCTTTCCGCGAACAGCTCGAAATATAATTAAACTTGCGGCTAGCCTATAGTGACCGAGTGCATAAGTCATGTTTTTCCATTATGTTTCGCGTACACAATCACGAACGTGGTCGTACTTGGCTCGAATGCGCGAGCATTTTTGAGGAAGCGATTCAAAATCTATGAGGTACGCTCGCGAACGGGCTCGTGCGCGTATACCGATACCCGTGACGACCTCTCGCTCGCTCGCTCGCCATCGGTCATTCATCCGTCCATACAGCAGCTGCAGCGGGTACGAAAAACAAAACAAAAACTCTATCCCGAGCAAGCCGCAGTTGACGCGCAGAAATTGAATGATCGCGTGGCTAGGCACAGAGCTCTGCGGCGCAA